TATAATAGTTTTTATAATTTTTTATAATAGTTTTCTATAGTTATATTTACATAAAACAGTTATCAAAAATTTTTTATATTAGGTTCATTTGTATATATGTGATTTCATAATAATATTCATAATAAAACAACTAGAAATGATTACACAATTATAACATCAAAGCTATTAATTTATCGTAGACGGATATAGTAGACGGACTCAATTAATAAACTTCATATTGCAGGGCTGTAATAATATTGGTATGCTTAGGCGGCATTCAGCAAATGAGCGGTTCTCAGGTCGCCGTACAGTATGCTCAAATAGTCCTGGACCAAGCTAAGACTAATCTGGAAGGCAAATACTTAACTATGATATTGGGCGCCATACAAGTGATTTTTACAATCATCTGTATGTTTCTTATCGATCACAGCGGCAGAAAGTCGTTGTTAATGATCTCGGCCGTTGGTGCAGCGTTTTCGAATGCTATAGTCGCGACGTATTTCAATCTGCAATATGATCATATAGATACCAGCGATATAATTTGGTTGCCCGCTGTTGGTGTGATTATGTATATAATCATGTATTGTTCGGGTTTGGCTTCGATACCCTTCACCATAGCTAGCGAATTATTTCCCACAAATGTAAAGGCTCTCGGCAATACCACTTTTTTAGGAACGACTAATATATGGGCCTTTTCTGTGTTAGAATTATTTCTGATCATAGCCGAAAATAGCGGTGCACACGTACCGTTCTGGATATTCACCGCATGCAGTCTCATGGGTGCTTTATTCGTGTTTTTCTACATACCTGAAACTAAAGGTAAAACTTTGGAACAGATACAAAAGGAATTGCACGGCTCGTCGACGTACTGAGATTCGAGAATAAGATAGTTACATGTTGATCTTCTTTCGACGAATTCGTGAATTGTTTAGAATTGAAGAAAAGTTATTTTTGAAGTTGGGCTCGTAGTTACTTCTGCAATTATTTTGCTTCAAATGATCTGTATTGTAATAGGTTGTAGCAGATTCTATTGCTTTGGCTTTAGAAAACTTGAAAATAAATGTAAATATGTTTCATAAAAATAATGACTATAATTAATGTATAAAATTAGTAGATGTTCTTATTATAATGTTTATGTTAAAGAATATTGAAATAATTAATTATATAAAAATCTCTCGACAATAGGATCAAAAAAGGTTTAATTGGTTTCTTGTTTAATATACAGACTAAATATAGCATAAAATATTTAACATATAAATATGTGCAATAATTCTTGATAAGATATTTGTAATTGTTTTCAAATTATGATTACATAAGATCTGAAATAAAGATTATATAAGATTTGTTCTTCGATAATATAAAATCTGTTATTTGATAATATAAAATCTGTTCTTCGATAATATAAAATCTGTTCTTCGAGTATACACAATTTATTCTTTCTTCTTTATATCAAATGTGCAATATGCTGATGATAAAGTTGATATGATAGTGTTATCTATAAACCTTTTTTAAATCAGCTTATTATGACAAACTCATCATTTAATGTTTGCATGTGAAACCGGTTGTATTGCGAAACATGAAGAAAATATATCTCGCCGCTGTAGCAGGTACATATATATTTTTTAGAATAATTAGACAAATAAATAAATTTTTGGATGTAATACCGGCTTCGATTCTCATTTTTAATATATAATTAAACTTAAAGTAAATTAAACATTATTTTTTATAAACACACGCAATGTTATTTAAATTCTCTTGATATTTTTAATTTATTGCATATATATATTTTTTTGTATATTTTTTTTTGCAGCTTACTATCCTCTTTATAGTGTGTACTTTGTATTATATAATCTACTTTGTATACTCTATCTTTAATAGTTATAATTGCTTATGATATTTAAAACATCTTTCCATTTTAAATTAAT